AAGCGACCGTGATATTGTTAATACGAATGAATTTTTCGCTTGTTTCAATAAAAAAAAAAAAAAAAAACGATGATGATGACTGATGCGAATGGGGATCTTGTATTTTATTGGAAAAAGGTGTGCGAGAATAGGGACTGTGGATTTAGCATTCGTTTACAGGAGCATCGGAAACTTGGCTTGGTTTCGATGAATGATTTAAGAGGTTGATTTTGATTGTTGAGAGTGCACACGATGCTTTGTGCGAATGCGTGTAGCTTTTTGTCAATGAAGGTTCCCTCATTCCAGCCACTGGGGCAACGTTCGCGACGAGTTCAGCAGCTGCGAAGATTTCAGAATCAAGAGCGAGGACATTCTTCTCGATCCTGGACAAAAGTGAGTTTTTCGTACCATCGAGATTCAAAAGCTTGTTAATTAAACTGTAGACTCTGAACAACTTTTTATCGTCCTAGAGATAACAAACAATTCACAATTTTTATAAAACTTCTTGACAATTATCAATTTCTTAACCCTTCGGATCGGCGAGCCGACGCCGGGTCACTTTTGTCCCATAGCTGAGTTTTTGCTATACTTGCTAACCTAACACTTTTTGGCACAGGATGTTACCTAATAATGTTTATATTATTTTTATATAATGCTTCAGCCAAAATTATTTACCTAATAATGTTTATATTATTTTTATATATAATGCTTCAGCCAGAAATATCTGTCTTTGAAATATTTTGCTCCTTCGCTACGCTCAAGTTCTGGGTCAAAGGTGACCCAGGTGTCAGCTACGCGAGAGTTAATAAACTGCCAATAAATAAAGATGGAAAGACTCGGTAATCGCTGGAAAGCAAAATCTCTAAATTTGCAGATTCGAGGGGAACGAAAAGGTCTGCGACCTTTGTCAGGAGAAGTTTCACTTCGTGACCAGATTGGTGGCACATCTGAGGATCGTTCACGGTATCCACAGGCCCTTCAAGTGTGTCACGTGCGGGAAGACTTATCCGCAGCAGTTCATGTTAAATGCCCACGTGAAAAAATCGCACACACCGAAAACGATGCCCTGTGGACAATGCAGTTTCATGGGTGTGAACGCCATCGACGTGGAGAGGCACGCGAAACGACACCATCGAGACGTGAAGTTCACCTGTGAGATCTGCAGCGAGAACTTCGTGGACAAGGATTCCTTGATGACTCACACGACCATGCACAACTTTATGCAGTTTCATCAGTGCAACGCTTGCGGCACTACGTTCGACGACGTGTACAGGTATGGCAATACTGTTCTGTGATTTCATTCTATAATTTCAGTGCATAAATTATCTCGATTGAATTTCTCATCTTTCGTTTATCATCGAACGTTTTCGTTTGTACAATTGCCAGCATTGATCAGGATCAAAAGAAAGATATTTTTTGTCCACGAATTACTTCTTCTCGAGTCATTTGAAAAAAATTTCCCAAAACTCTAGTCTTTTAATCACAACGTCCAGAATACTTCCCGAAATCCCAGTCTCCGATCTATCATCGTCGGCCAGAAAAAATTTCACAAAGTCGCAAATTAACGCAGCCTGAAGGAGCACAACCGTTTGTACCACTACGATCCGGCGACGTTGATCCAAGAGAAGCTGGAGACGGAGGCGCCGCAGCAGGACACCGCGACGGAGCACAAGTGCGACGTCTGTGGCAAGGCTTACAAGTACAAGTCGGTGTTGAAGCAGCACAAAGTGAAAGCCCACGGCGACGTGCCGAGCTACGAGAGGCGTCGTTATCTGTGCGCTCTCTGTGGCAAAGAGCTGAAAACCGCGAAAGGCCTGGAAATTCACAATCGGTCGCACACAGGCGAAAAACCGTACACCTGCGAGGTGTGCGGCAAGTGTTTCGCCTGCGAAACGCTGCTCAGGACTCATAACGTCACTCACACTGGCGAGAGGAAGTACTCCTGCGACCAATGCGGCAAAGCTTTCACGCAGAGGTCCACGTTGGTTGTTCACAAGCGTTATCACACCGGCGAACGACCGTACGTTTGCCCCCGGTGTGGAAAAGGCTTCGTCACCAGGACTGTTTTGAACACCCATATGAAATCCTGTCGTTAAGAGAATAAATCCTGACGAGAATGTATGAGAAACGGGTAGTGTTTGAAACAGGTATAGGGCCTTTCTGTTGAAGGGACGTGGTGCTCCAAGTAAGACTGGGACTATTTGCGAAACTTTATAGCAGCAGGATATAATTTTAATTCGTACGTGTACCAGGAATGATATTTCTCTTTCGTTTAAATATTTACAAGCTATTTGAGATTGCAATTATTCCTGTGGCTTGAATTTTGGGAATATCTCTCCAGATCACTTGTCAGATACAAAATAGAAGATAGATTTATGAAGAAAATTCTATGACTTTTGTGAAGAGAATTTCATAGATTTTTTTCCAACGAATTTTCTCTTCGTAAAAATTGTGAAATTTTCTTCATAAATCTGTGAAAACATTTTAAACAACGATGACAGTATATTGTATGTATGTATCATACGTACTTCCATATTTGACATTTGAATATTTCAAATTAATTTCCAATAGTTCCAGTTCTTTGAAATATCTATACGCAAATGGGGATTCCGGTATTGATTAAACCGAGAGGAAAGAAAAAAAAAACTCATGTTCTATAAAAGTCACAGTTCAGAATAACTTGTACAAAATAAGAATCAACGCGTGACAATAAATATAATAAAAGAGTCCAATGTGACCAACGGTGTCTAACAATAAGCTTACAAAAAATGGAGCTGCAGTTCCTAAAATAAGTATTAAATTTGGTTTTCGAAAAGTGTGTCAGACATCCCGTCAATAAGAATAACCGACCGTATATGTCGTGTTCTTGTTCTTTCTTACTTCTACTTATCGAGCAGATTGACACAGCTCGATCGTTTAATACCGGGACACCCTTGTGCAATTTATGACCCTTGAGGTACTTTTAGAAAGCCCTCGTGAATTCAGGCCAACCCTCACGGATATAATCGCCATTCACCTCAGATGGATTAACATCAAAATCGATCGCTTTAAAGATGTCAGCTTTTGTCGTAGGTTCTTTTTTTACCAATACGATTCACGTTTCTTAAAAAGGAAACGGCAATTTATCAGTTTATTATAATTCGACACTTTATACAATAAAGGGAGTGTGTGCTGTTAATATATCAATAATTTTACTATAAAATTCAATTGAAAGATTTATTAAAAATAGAAGATCCGCTGAGACTTTTAAGCAATGAAAGTGACAATGCAAGTGATATTTGCAAAATCTTGGAAACCACTTTTTGTATTCCGTTTTTGAAATGATGATATTTTTTAGTGCAGAGGTGATAAATATTTGCGACCTCTACGATCGTAAAGCCGTCCTTGATACTAGTATTAAAGTGCAACAGATTGTTTTAAACACAGTTGCACTTGCAAAAGCGTAGTACTAATTCGTGCGTGTGAAGTGTAATAATTGAAGACGACAGAAGAAATATGATAAGTTTTTTTTGCTTTACAGAAGATCAACTTTGTAACATTAGTTGTTTTAGCACGTGAAGCGTTGCAAATTTACTTTTATATATACAGTTACCTTTTATCTTCAGTTTTATCTAATCCTATTTAAAGAATTTATTCCTTTCAACTATACCATGCTAAAATATTACTTTTAACTATCAAGTGGTATCTGAAGATAAAAGGATCCAATCAGACTTATCATATTTCTCTTCTATCTTCAATTAATATCGTGCAAAGTGCGATGATTAAGAAGGTAAGAAAACAGAACTATAGAATTGTTTTCTTTTTTTTTTTTTGAGGAAAACTTCGTTTAATCGATCGCAAGCCAGCCATAATGAAAATATAATCGAATTAAAAATCGATAACTTGCGATCGATTAATTAGAAATTTTATGAAAGAAGATTTTATGAATGAAGGAGGAACAACGTGATATAGCGCACCGATTTAAACTTCCACATTTTTATACATGTTTTTTTTATACTTTTTATACGCATATTGCATCGTGAAAGTAACGAGAACAATTTTCCCTAGATCTTTAGATTCACTCGAAAAACTCTGGGACAATACTAGCGAGAAAACGAATTCTTGATTATCGTTTAAAGGCTGTATCTACAAGATATTTCTACAAATTTTTACTGCGAAATGCTCTCGTAATATCGTATTTATTATTAAATTAACTCATTCGATTATACTGTCAACGATTTCATGTCGATAATAATAATAATAAAAAAAAAGAAACAAAACAATTTCGCAACGCTGTAAATTTATTGTTTAACTCTCTATATTGCAGATAAGAAATAAATTTCATAGGAAAGGGAATTCTCTGTACTCTACAAACGATTCTCAACGATTCTCAATGATTCTCAAAATAAACGTACAAAATAAAAATACCAAGATGGAGAGTGGACAATTATTTTATTTTTGGCTGTAATAACAGCAGAGACGCGAGTGGGACAGCTGAGAAATCAACGTTTTAATAGAACACCAAAACCGAGGCTGGATCTTCGATACGAAAATCTACTCCTTGTTCCATCATCTTGTGATCGTAATGGTAGTTGATGTCGTTCAGTATGGCACGATTCCGAGCGTTAACGTTACGTGGCTTCACGTGGATCGTACGAAAACCTATTTGAAAAAAAAAAAAGAACAAAAACGAATTGTCCTTCTAAATCAATTTCTCTAATTTTCTCCTTGAAGCGAACGAAATTAAAATATATGATTCTATTTAAACTCGAAGCTTGAGATTGAGCCTGTTGAGTGAAAATAAACGTTCGAATTCTTACGAGTCTTGCTTTCAGCTTGCAGCTGGCAGATGTCCCGCAATGTATCGAGACTTCTTATTATACCGTCGTACTGTAATCTCGTTAGATGTTTACAACGCATCAACATGGAGATCAGCAAGTCGTCGAGCATCTCACGATTATTTCTGAGTTGTAGCATCACCTCAGCTGTAACGTGTACGTAATTCTTTTTTTTAATTTTATTGTAATTCCATGTGCCGTGATTTTTTTGTTCACTCTCGCAAAATTATAATTATGCTTTATTATTTAGCTGAGGTCTTGAAAGAATTTATGTTTTGAAATCGTGGACAGGGCATCTCCGCAAATTTACAAACACGTAAACGAGTATCACGATAGCTAATCTAAAATTCTGAAATTATTAAACAGAAGCACGCGTTCGTTTCAACAGCACGTAGAATTACACAATTGGGAGGAAACGATAGCCAAAGCGCGGGATTCAGCGAGCTTCGTTGCGACAGTTCATCGCGTTAAGAAATAGAGCGCGCGAGGAAGCGAGTTTCACGGACAGTGTGCAAGGCTGTGTAACAGTAGGATTTAGAGGAATTTATTATACCGAGCGTGTTGGTGTAATGGGTAATGAGCAGTCCGACGGTGCTTCTGAAATTGCGAGATCTACTCTGATCCCACACGTGGCCGCTGAACATTTGAAATCTAGCCAATGGCACGCTGGGCAGCAGGAAGTAGCACATATCTTCGTAATGCGATATGTTAACTGAAAATCAAACTTAACAAGCTAAATGGCGCGTAGAATCATACATTCTCGCGATCAGAACGCAACATATCAAAATTTCAGAGTTAAAGTGTTTGCTAAAAGGGTATCTTATCTGCTACATAAGTTTCCAATGACTTTAGCGCCCGATTCAACAAATACATATACCTTTGCAATCGTTCTATCGGCTTTTAATATTTTGATTGGATCGATTGGATCCGCGGTTGTTGATCATTCGCGTGAAAGAACCGATTTCAAGGATTTTCTCCATAATCTTATCGCGAAGTTAAAAGAATCGCTTAACGCGAAGCGATTATTGGCATTAATGAAACGCCAATAACCAGATAGGCGCAAAAGCAAATCGTCTATTTTTAAATCGAATTTCTCGCGTACGTGTTCTCGGTTCTAAATTGCTCGTGGCACAATAGGAAGCCTTCGCTTCACAATCGCGAAACGCGTAATAAGCCGTGAAGCATCGGCGCGATATCGCTTCGACGTGGGCGGAAGGAAATCAATGATTAGTTTTACGTCACTCTGTATCATATTGTACCTATAGTGTAGGACACCGTGAGCTCGGGGCAGACGAGCACTAAATTGTGCCAGGCGATATCGGTGATCGTGTGATGCCTGGAATCCGAATCTCTCACGGATATGTGCAACGTCTTCAACACTCTCGGCGCTGCGTTGGTCAACGCGTTTAGAGTCTGATCGGACAGAGCTGGATAATCGAGCCTGAGTATCGTCAACGCGCGGAATCGGCCCAGCAGACGCAGATATCTGAAAATCGAAGGGATCGTGGCAAAAATTGCAATTGTCGAAGCGAGCGTCTCCTTTAATCTCTTTGAAACTTGGAACGTAGCATCTTATTAAAATCTGTAGAATTTTAATACCAGAACGGTATAATCGACCAATTGACAATTTCTTTTTTCTTTTTTTTTTTTTTTTTCAAGAGGCGTTACTATCGAACTGTGATGAATCAGAATGTTTCGCGATAACTTTTATCTGAAATTCTTTTTCACGCAGCTCGATTTGTTGTTGTCGAGTCCATGTTGCTCAAAGGAAATCTCATTTCAAAGAGATTAAAATTTCATCAAATCATGAGTGATGTCAATATTTCTCGCCACTCGTTTTCGTGATTTCATTTTTTCTTAGATCACTGCTTGAGATTACTCGTGATAAACCCATACGAGATTGAAATTTCGTAAGGACGAATGAATGGAGCTGTTTACTCGTGCCTTGGGTTGCTGTGGGGCGCCTGCCATTCCCGAAACGCACCCCGAAGATCTAAATAAGCCAGGTGCTCAGTCGAGCCTTTGGAAGCACTTGCGAGGAGTCGCAACACGTCGCTCACTCCGAGGGTCGCGTTCAACAAACTTAGCGTTTCCAAATTGTGCTGACAGCTACACAAACGGATATTGATTAGATTACTCAGACTCAATTACTTTAGACAACAGAGATACAGCGAGAGACACGACAGTGAGAACTTAACGAGTAAAACCACATTGACACGTGGAGAAGATATTTTTGAAGTTTTCATAGATCAACTCGTTGAACGTGGAGAGTCAGTTTATTAGATTTTTGAAACGAATTGTTAGAGTCAAAATTCAGAATATTGTATAATTTATTTTAAAATTAATTCTGCCTTCCAAGTAAGAGTCAAACTTTCGAACAACCCTCCAATTAAATCCTCAGGTGCGAGGAACGACCATTTACCCTAAAAAGCTCGCGAGAGCGTACAACAGTTTGCCTCTGTTTCCCCATTTACAGATGAAGATCCAGTCGGTGAGTACGAGCTTCTTCAATTGGACGTTCTTGGCTCGTACGATCGTGAGAAACTCAGCGCCAGCCTCAGCTTGAGTATTACGAGTTATGCGAGCTTCTCTTGGCAAGAGGTACGGTCGTGACCAGGCAAGTTCCAGGCATCGTATATGCTGCCAATATTTGGCCTAAACAAAACACAATTACGTTGTAGGTGTCAACTATACAAGTATATTTATCTTCTTCTTGAATCATATATATTTTCATTTACAATAGAATTCTACTGACTATAGTCAGCCAGAAAGATTGCAGCAACCAAGCAGTTTTCTACATTTTAAAAATAACTATTGAACGTAGTATCCCACTAACTTGGTACCGACGATTATTCTTTAAAGATCCAAGGTTTCAATTTCACTTTAATACTACGTGGCAAGTTTCGTAAATAAATCTGTATGTAGAAGAACTGTTGATCTTTTGATCTTTTTCTAAATATTTGCGTACGGTTAGTTCTCCCGCCAAAGGGAAGTCACCACGCAGATCACGATCGATGAAGACTGTGACGGAACGCCAAAGAACTGGCGACGAAAGTGCACGGTTCCATAGTCGACAGACTTGTGCGACATTCGCACGATCTCCATGGCCGAGGTGACTAAATATCTGCGTCAGTATCAGCTCCGGCAGCTGATCCCACATCTCCCAGTATCAGCTTGGCCCGTCTTCATCTCTACGTGGCTGAGGCGGCTGTCGCAACCTCGTCAAGTTCTCTTGTCCTGCTCCGCGATATCGACTCGATCGTCATTGAAAATCGTACGATCAATTCAGTCGAATTCACGAGATGTTAAACGCTTGAAATTGCGCTCGAATTGAAGTCGCTGACATTGGGATCGTCAGTGAAAATTGCACAATCGATTGAATGGAATTCGCCAAGTATCACAGATGTGCATGAATTCACATTCAGATCTCAAATTCTAATTTGCCCGTTGATTTGCAAAAGGAGGAAAGAATTACAGAAGGAACGTGATAATATATTTAACAACGAGAGTATTATATTAATAATCGTACGTGATCGCATCGAAAAGGTCCTTGGTGCAGAGTGTAACAAGAGGTATGACCTGTCCCAATTGGGCTTTGCATTCTGTAGATGAAATTGATAAAGTACGTGAGCATCATCGCAATGATATCACGTTTCTTTCATAGCTATTGAAAGCGATTGCGAAACGAGGGCATTTAAGAAGCATAAATTTCTTCCTCTTGTTAATAATATATCTTCTTCTTAGAAATCTTAGAAAATGCGAAATTTTGGAAAATCATCGACATTAATATAGCTTGTAATTGCATTATCTTGCCTCTTAAGAATTATCAGAATCCTGTCAGATGGTAAAACATAAAGCTCGAGGATCGCCTAAAGTCCAAATCATTATCGCATTGATATTTTACTCGTCGGCGTAATAAGTTTTCCCGCTTATTGGTTCAACGTTGCGGCAAATTTAGTAGTGGTGAGCGCCGCGAGATGGCGCCCCGCTTATCTAGAAAAATGCATCACGGTATTTATACAGTCAGTATAGTGTAGGTACTCCACTCGGTACACGTGTACCGGGGGAGATACGTGAGACCGAACGTACACAATTTGCAACTACGTCAGTGTCAAGGTCTAAACCGACCACGGATCGTAGCCACCGTCGTCATTGAAAAACGATATTGTACATTCCTTGGGAATGAAATAAGTCCGCCAGATGATTACATAAACGTTCGATATTGGTCTTTGACCCTGGTTCTAACCTGTCTTTTAGCACGTAAAGACAGGAACTTTGTTGTTGTACCGAACCGTGTATTGTTCCGACACTGAAGAGAACGTCAATCGAAAACATCGAATATCGTAATATCCACGCACGATACTGCATGCGTCAGTAAAACGACGCCCGTTGACGCTGTTGAAACATGATAATGAAGGAAGAAGCGAACAACGAGGAGCCGAATAAGGAACAGTGGATACTCGAGGCGCAGGCGATCATTGACGACGTGAAGCAGCATGTAACCGACATCAAGGTGTCAAACAAACTACGGAATAGCAACCAATCCTTCCATTTGAACTTGACCACGCTAGAAGGCTCGAGATTTTGCATAGAAGTGTCGACTGCTGGCTTTACCGTCGTTGGTAACGAACACGACGACATGACATCGAAGGGAGAGAACGAGCGTTTCGAGACGCCGTACAGCTTGTTGAACTTCGTTAGCTCGCAGTACAAAGACTCGTTTGGCAGTTCGCTTGTTCACAGGCTCGAACAATTAAACGACTCGAGCAAATTTAATTAGGACTTTTCCCATCGAGTTTATCTCCGACCGTACTCCTGCTCTGCTTCGTTGACATTGAATAGAACTGTCGTGAAATGACATGACAGTTAAATTAGTAGGTAGTAGCTTGTTGCATAAATGTATATACACACGTATCTTTTAATATTAAGTCTTTGAGATCCGAAATAAATTATGATTCTCGTCAGATGCGTTTCCTCTTTGCGCAGCACTCATTCAGCCCGAGTCTAGCCGAAGATATCCGAGTGCACGGTAATTTGCAAAGGCAGTGTCGTATCCGAGACAAGTTTCAAAGTATCCCCTGTGTTTTGACTCGGAGCGTCATGTATATACTATTAAGTCTCCACTCGAGAACTTGTAACGACGCATATTTTAATTTCCTAGTGTCGTAATTAATACGTAATTTCGTAGTACAAATTGCATACGTAGTCTAATAGTCAACGTTCGAATCAATTAAAGCTAAACGAGAAACATACATGTACTATAAACTAGTGAAATTTACTTAATTATAAAAAAACAATTTCTTAGTACGTGATTACTCGCTGCACGACACGTCGAACAGAACTTGTGACAACATACGACGCGTTCTATTTTAATTTCCAACTGTTGATGCGTAATTCGTTTTCGTTGCACAAAGCACAACGTTTAAAACAATCAAAGCTGAACGAGAGGCATGCACGCATAAAACATGTCGGACGTACGATAAAACAGTACGTTATCAGTGAAATTTATTTGATGAGCGACTAAAAAAAAAAAAAGATATCCATTGGATTCGTACGAACGCGCGGTGATACGGATTGAGATAGATACGGCAGTGCGATATCGACGAATCGCGCGTCCCTAGGAAATATCCCTAGGAATCGAAAGAGATCAGTCGGTGCAAGTGGTAATATCGGTTGCGTTCATCCCCTCCTCTACGTCCCTACGTTGCCTCTGTGTGCCGTTTGGCGTATTCCACTGTCGGGTCGTGAAGCAACGAAGCGGTTCTTTGCCGAGTGTATGTCGTATACCGTGTTCGCGTATCGCGATGATTCTGAATGAGTTCACCGTCGATTAAGTGCCTGAGGACGAAAGTGTGTGCCGCGTTTGTTAATATCGGAGCGGGTGATGCTACGATGCCGAACGGTGAACTATGACACGCCCGTGAAAAAACGATAACAACACTCCTATCCTCCGATTGACCAGAGAGACGAAACGACAGAGAGAGAAAGAGAGAGAATATAACGCAATACGACGGAAGGCTCCTGCTTTCTGTATTCTTCGTGTGACACTCGCCTCGAGTGAAACCATGCTTCAGCCAAGAGCTACGTGAAGTACGCGAAAACGGTGACGAAGGTAAGCGACGAATTATTTCGGTGTTAGCTCGAACGTCAGAGAGCCGCGGTGGAGACTTGACAGGTCTGTTTGTTTTCGTCTGTGCCTCGTTTCTCGATATCAGCATGAAAGGGGTGGGACGATTACTTCCTATATCAACCTATATAACCGCGGACAGTGTCTTGTTTGTGTGTGTGTGTGTATGGAAATGAGTCGCGATAGTAACGTAATATCGCAGGTTGCTTAAATATCGTTGATCCCTCCTCCAATGTGCACGTACACGCGTACTTCGAATTTTCTCTTCTTCGTTTATTTTCTTCCTTTTTTACGAGATAAGTCTCTCAATGAATCTCCGATCTTTTTCTCAATGAGATAGTTCACCGTGTTGCAGACTGGGAGTATTTATCGAAACGCTTACAAGTTTCACGTATCTGACAATCGTGCGAAGCGATATTGTTATTTCCGTCAGGGATCCTTAGTTTATATAAGAACCATGGTAAATCGGAATTTTTGTTGAAAAGCTCTTTAAAAAGTTAACGTGTTATTTGTATGACACGTTGAAATATGTACTTGCACAGTGTGTACATTTACATTTTGATAACAGTATCACACCGCGATGAAATATACATTTTCTCGTTGAATCGTAAATCGGAGAAATGTAGTAAATTCGGAGATCTTCAATAATCATAGTATATAAAAAAATATATATTTAATATCTACGTGTATTGTGTCATTTGCTCTTCGATTATATTATTATGTGTCGTAAATAATTTTTTATTTCCGAAGAACAAAATAAGTATTTGCGTCAGTTTGAATATAATTGATACTCGAAAGATGAATAAAATAGCTTTTTTATCACACATGTTTTCCGCGTAATACGTCCGTCACACTGCTACGAGGGCAATGCTGATGTTCTAATTATGATAATCGGAATGAATCACCAGTTAAAGGATTGAGTTAAAGGTGATAGAATGTGAATGAAGTAACTAACAATAAGTACTTACATGTAATTCATTTCTTAATGCCACAACGAATTTCGTTGGGCAATTTGTCATTTCGTTACTCGAAACAAATTTTCGAGTAACTTCAACATTCAATACGTAGTCGCGCGATTTAGTAATGTATTCACTGTCACGAAAGTAGGTCAACAAATTTGTTGCAAATGTTAATTTGATCTGAATGACATTTAGTAACGATATCAATAAGTTCATCAAATATGCCGAACTGTACCAATGTTTTAACTAAACTTCCTATGTACTATTTTTGGATAACACATGTAATCTATTATGCATACAGGATTTAGATTAGATAATATCACTCTTAGAGAAAATTGTAGCTCAAAATAGATATATAGGGGTCAAGTAAAACAGAGCTATTCAACACCATGTTCATTTCATTTCTTTTTATTAAATTTTTGTTTTAAATAGATACTGTGTAATTTTCACATTGCATTTATCATTTTATTTCATCATATTTTATTTATTTTATGAAAGAAATCTTGTGATTAATTTGATAACATTTGATAAAAATAGCTTTCATTTGACAATCAATACATTTCATATAAATAATAGTACTGATATCACAATAAACGATATATCTTCATTTTTTCTGATATTACATCTTTAGCAAATCCTCCAAATGTTTTACAACTTATAGTAATAATAATTCATAGCACACACAATAGCATTTACTGATAAAGAGAAGATACATGTGGATATATATGTCATCGTTTGGTTAGATCGTTCACACAATACACTTGAATTCATATATCTAGAATGTTTACAGCAATACTAAAGTAGTTAAGTAATCATTTTTTCAGAAAAAGGAATGGCCAATTTGATGGTAACTACGTCAAGTAAGAATAGTTCACGCAGTGCATCACCTAACAGAGGAAATACATTGACCTCACCTCAACAGTTGTCATCTACCTTGGAACATATTTCAAAAGCACGTAATGCTTCACTGTAAGATCTGATTTTTTGTAGATATTAATGTGTGTGCTTATATAGATTAAGATTAAAAATTCTTATTTTTTTGTAGTATTTTACATGAAACTGAAACATTAAGCTTATGCTTCAATATGATATAATTAATGATACAATATTTTGTACTTACAAATAAGAAAAATAAGTTCCTAAAAAAAAATAAATAAATGAAAAATAAATAAAAGGAGCACAGTACAAAATTAATTTGACTTCACAGTTCCCAAACAGGGGAGGGTAGTACAGGCAGTGGAAGTAGTGGTGGTGGAGGCAGCCTCAGCATGAAAGGTAGTAGGCAAAAATCACCAGGAACTGTGATTCGAGTAGATGCTATGGATGAACCAAATACCAATTTAATCACTGCCGAACAAGACGAGTTTGTGCCAAATATTCACTTACCAACTGATGATGAAGGAGTATGTACTTTGATCTTTTAAAATAATTTTATTTTCAAAATGTTTAATACTTTTCAATTTATACATTTATATATTTTCATTTTTGATTAAGACATTTCCATCAATTTTATATATATATCAGTTTTGATAATGTACAATTTTAATGATATGTTATAATGTTTAATATTATTGAAGTATTGAGATTGATGAAATTGATATTATTGTCTTTTTAAATGTTTATTACAGTAGTAAATATGATTGTATGTGCTTACATAAAATTACTTATGTAATGTGGCATCGTGACATGTAATTCCATTGTGCTGCAAGGTCATCAACCATTACTGTGTAATTAGGGTTATAGGTTAAGAAATTAAGTAGGTATTTATATAATATTCTAAGTGTTTCAAAGCTAGACAATCTTTAGAAATTCAAAGTGCATCTAATGTACAAGTTATCGAGCAGTAGGTTCAGGGAAATGTGTTTTGTCAGTTATAATTTATTTTTTAATCCTTGCAATTACTTATATGTCCACCAAGTTTCTATATTTTAATTATAAATTTATTTACAGGAACAATATCACGCAACACAATCGTTCCTATCAAATGGCTCCTCTGAATTAATAACTGATGATGTTGACTCTAACTCTGCTCGAGTTTGTCAAGCTATTGAGCACATTCAAAGTAAAATTGCTAAAACACGAGAACTTATAAGAATAGAACAAACTACACGTGATGGTAATTTTCCACAATTAACAGTTAATTAGTATAGTGCTGATATTCATCAAGTATTAGAGTGTTAAAATGATTGTCCGAATTATGATGAAACCTATATACAATAGCAATTTATGTCACAGTATGTATTATAACTAAAACATTAATTTAATTTCTTTTCTTTTTACAGAAAATGTAAATGAATATCTAAAATTAGCTGCCAATGCAGACAAGCAGCAGCTTACACGAATCAAAGCAGTATTTGAAAAGAAAAATCAAAAATCAGCGCACAGTATTTCTCAGCTTCAAAAAAAATTGGATAGTTATACAAAAAAATTAAAGCATTATGAGTTAAATGGTGCACCTACAAGTCACAGACAACCTAGGGAAGTGCTTCGGGATATGGGACAAGGACTTAAGTAAGTAAATTTTATTTTGTATTAACTGTTTGCATTTTAATGGTAATAAGTATTATTATGATAATAATATAGTAATAAGAAAAAATTAAAAATTTATATTTAAATCATTACTAATAGGTGTAGATCTTTCCTTATTTTAAATGTTTATTAAAATGTACATTGTATTATACTAATAATAATTTTGATTAGTAGATGTTATAATCTACATTATATAAATTATAGACTGTATTTCATTGAAGAGTAACATCTCTATCATTTTATATTACTTATGTGCTTGTACTGAAAACGTAAAAGTTTTTAATTAAAAAGAAAATTAATATAATTGTGTAAAAATTGAAATGTTACATTAAGACGCTAAATATGAAAACTTGTTCCTTTAGTGTAATTTCTTTGTGTTCCATTTTTTGTTTTTAATCTATCTTTTGTTATACTAAATATAGAGTATGAGACTTTAATCTAATTTAAGATTCACTTTCAGAAACGTGGGTGGCAATATTAGGGTTGGAATCAGTGGTTTTTCAGGGTGAGTATTAGTGTGAAAATAGATTTTTATAGTTTCTGAGTCATCTCATTATTTATTGTTATAGTTCATTAATTTTGAAAAAATCAAATCTTAAAATACAATTACTTTTATATGAAATGTAAGATTATAATAATTATTACTAATTTTTATTATATCTTTCAGAAGTGTAATGTCCAAACCCAGAGAATTTGCACACTTAATAAAAAACAAATTTGGCAGTGCAGATAATATAAATACTTTATCTCGTGAGTAATTTTTATTACAATTGTTTTCTTAATTAATTAATATAATTTTGTTCGGATTTAACTTATTTAATTTTTGAATAATATTTATTGTCAAAGGTGTTAATTAAGTCTTTGTGTTTAAAAAGCACTCTTACTAAGCACATTTTGATTTATGCTAATAAAGTTTGGTATTACAAGCAATAGTATGCACGTTCATTTTATTTAAAATATATATACATATTATATATGTAAATACACTATCAGAATCATTATAATCCAGAAATATAAGTTTTTATTTATGTGGAATAAAATGATAGCATAAATGCATAATAATTTATAATGTATAGTATATAGTATATAATTTATAATGTATAGTCTAATGTATAGTTTTCCTATTTACTTCACACATTGAAGAATAAATAATATTTAATATTTTGCGCTATCATGGCAGTTGAAAGTAGTAAGTAACATTTGTGCTAATTTTTCTATTATATTCTTTTTTTATATCTTTATAAACATCCTGTTATTTAGTGAACATATATTTATGTTTTACTTTGTAAAATCTTAATAATTTTTAACCTTTTTTGTTGTATATGATAAGAAACACAAATTTTATATATTTACACATTCTATTGATAGACAATTTTTATGTAAGAATGTTGTGTTTATATATTGTAAGCTTTATATTAATATTTTATTAACATTTCAAATTATTTAATAATTTTGCCTTGTCTTTAGTGGCTTTTACAAATTCAAATGTTTGCTATTTTACATATTAGTTATCCAATACATTGACAAGTTATATAAAACATACATATGAACATGAATTCAAAGAACAAAAGTTATAAAGAGAAAACAATTTTTACTTTAAGTTTACAAAACACGTTATTAATATAGTTATATACAACAAAAATGTTTTTGAATTATCTTTAACTGTAATAACGACGGGAGTATCGCAACATGAAAAAGTATATAAAAGCTGATTAGTTGTTATCAAAGGCAAAATAGTTTAGTATTGGTATTGGATAACATTCTAACTTGCGACGTCTGTGTCCCTGCAGATGGCTCGACTTTTTATGTAAACGATACACCGCGTGCAGGTAATGGAGATAACGCTAGTGTTGAAGATGAAAAGGCTCATCATGGGTCAGCGACATTGCCTGGTGGATGTAGTTTGGGATCAACTCATAGTGCCGCAGCAATGAAATTTCCATCCGAAGAAGGATCAGAATGTTCCAGTGTCACAAGTGAAAGCGGACCTGGTAGTAGGGGGCAAGCACACACTTGTCACAGTAGTAATAATGCTGCACTTAGTCTCAAATCTATTTTCTCAGAGCTACAAGAACATAGAGAAAATTTGGAAAGAATGAAAGACAAATTAGAAGGTTTAAAGGTTTGTTTATCTAACTCTAAATCATAATCTAATGTGTATTATACAAAATAAAAACAGAGGAATACCAACATATTTGCATACATTATAATTTTATACTCAATTTCTTCCTTGAACATTTTTAGAGTTTGCAACAAGAAGTGACATATCTTTCTCATGCTTTGCAAGAGGAACGTTTTAGATGCGAGCGTCTGGAAGAACAAATTAACGATTTAACAGAACTGCATCAAAACGAAGTAGAAAACTTGAAACAGACTATAACAGATATGGAAGAAAAAGTGCAATATCAAAGTGAAGATCGATTAAGAGATATACACGAAATGTTGGAGAGTTGCCAAACTAAAATTTGTAAAATGGAACATCAACAACAACAACATCAACAATATGTCACTTTAGAGGGTTTGGATAATAGCAATGCAAGGGCATTGGTTGTAAAGCTCATAAATGTAGTATTGACTGTGTTGCAAGTTATTTTACTTCTGGTTGCAACAGGTGCTGGTATAATGATGCCTTTCCTTAGGACCAGGTACACTTATTTCATATCGTAATATTATGTTTAACTTTAATTTTTACAGGAAAGGTTTAAAATTGATACATATGTATGAACATAAAATATTACATTTTACAGCTCAAATATATAAGCTTTCTGAAGTAAATCTTGTTTATTTCAAAATATATCATGTACTTATTTATTTTCTATTTGTAATAAGCAGATAGTTATCATATTGCAATAAAATAGTAGCTCATACGTTTTATCAATATATATACTTTTGTTATATCATTCTTGTTTCATTTTTCACTCACATTCATCTCAAATCATACTTCATCACGTACATCGCCATCTGATTTTAATTTCGCACACTCATTATTTTATTTTGTTTTCACATCTCTGTTGCAGTTGTACTAAGCCTCATTGTTTCATGTGCAGGGTGCGCATATTAACAACTACGTTTGTTGTATTGGGCATAGTATTTGTGCTCAAACAATGGCCTGAGGTTCATGACGTCGGCAGTCACCTCATGCGCCACCTTAAACAGACGCTCGCCGTTAAGTAGCATCGTAAGTAAATTATTATTATCTTATCTCTTACTAAAAAGTAAACATTAGAAATATATTCGTTAAAAAATATGAAACAATATTAATTCTTAACGGACGTTTGTTGCACGGTAGATAACACAATAAGTATAAAATATAGATACCAACGATAAGTGTTAATAGCCTTTAAAGAATTTATTTTGTGTAATAAGATTTAATACTCTATTTATTTAAAATATAAAAAATAAATGTAACTTATTCTAGGGTGGTATACTTAAATTTACCATACCCTGTGATGAAGAAAAATTGTACACATTGATCAACATTTTGGACCTATTTATCAGTGCTGTAGTTTTGGAGCAATAATAGTAGGTATACGCGTAAATGATTTCATTTATATTTTAAATTCAATCATGTTCATCACTATTACATTAAATCAGATCAAATCCGTTTGATACTATTAATGGAATTACAAAACTCAAAACATATTTTGCTGTGCAAATGTTTCACCTAGGAAAAAGAAATTTTCTAGAAATGATAAAGATAAAAGTGTCTTTTGTCTCTTATGCAAATATTGTAAATTTATTTAGAATATTTTCATTTCTACTTATGTAAATTTGTTGAAAGAAAACAATAGGCACTTGATAATTAATTGTGCGAGAATAAAAAATATTATCATTTATAATAAAATAAAAATTTCTATGAAATATAAAAGAGGCAGTAACTATAACGCTGTACACTGATATTGCTTGATTACATACGGCACATTGTTAGAAGAATTTACTCTAATGTCATGCGATTAAGTTCACTTTTACACGAATCATTGATTAATATGAGATTTAAAAAAAAAAATTATTGAACAAGCGAAAGTACTGATTAAAAGATAGAAAAGAAAATTGTTCTATTATTTAGTGTCTGTGGGAGGTGTTATCACCATTTTCGGGATTATAGTTCGTACATTTGATATTCTAATAACGTGTAAGTTTATCACAAAGGCACGTTTCGAAATAAAATATTTATAATTACAATCGTCCAATTGCTAAACAATAATATAAATTAAGACAGCAAAAGAACACTTAAAACTGTAGATATTCTTCACTTCAAAATGTGTAAAATATGTGATATATTCTTTAGTGTTGACAATGAGGTGGAGTAATTTGATCGACTTTAGTGAAACCGTATCCTTATATGTAATTCACAAACTGTACATTCATGAGAACACAAAAATGTAATACAAATTATGTAACATTCAATATCAAAAGAGGACCAACATGTTTCATTCCTCTTACTCTATAACGTTAATTTATTTCATATACGACGATCTTTCGAAATAAATGACATCAGCTGTTATCTGTAGTCTCATGAACGTTTCAAACCACCACAGACACAAGAATGCGTACATGTTATATTGAATATAAAGAAATGAACCATGACAGACGTTGAAATGAGAGAAAGACTGATGGACTACATCGCTGTTACAATTGTGAGTAATTTAATATTTGTGGCAATTTTGCGTTGCTATTCATTGGACGAAGTATTAAAACGGTAAAACGATTGAAAGGAAAATGAAGAAATAGAAATGCAACGGTAATTACAATTATACAAACAAAAGATAATTCTTAAATTAACATAGGTGCTCAAATCCGTGAGTGTATAAAATATTTTGGTCTACGTAATTTTTTTAATTCTATTATCACTACTTAATGGCGAAGTATCGTTTATTTCACTAGTTTCCGAATTTTCATCTTTTTTGCAAGCACGGCATCACCGAATATCATGAAGTTTCACAGCTTAACGATATTATTTTGTGAATATGTGGCAAGTAAAGAAAGAAACAATTTTCCGGTAATTATTATCTTTTTTTTTTTTTACTGTTTAATACGTAAAATTCTCTTTATGTTTTATATAAATGCATAGCCTTTAATTTGTATTAAGTTCGTACATTAGAATTTTTGTTATTTGTATATGTTGGATTATGTACTGTTATCGTTTCGTTGATCTTGATGAAGTATGAAACATTGTTTTTAAACGAAAAACAAAATCTGTAAATAAAATAAATTTATGTAGTAACACATTTCCTTTTTTTTTTTTTTGGAGTCTATTATTCATGAATACAATATCAAATTTCCTAATTTTTTATTTAACGCTATAGTTCTTTGAAATATCGTATTTTATTATTACGATCACTGCTTTTGTAACATTTGTTCAACACCATTTTTGTAACTTTTATATATGTTCAATGCAAATACTGCCAAAAAGAATCCAACGCGAAAGACATAAAAATTGATAATTTACGAGAGATGCAAAAATGAAGTTGATTAAAATTTTATGTCCATATTTTAAGATCGAAAAGGCAAGGAAGTTTGATCGTGTATTTATAACTTCATCAGGCAAAAGTTTGTATTTCAACGGGTCGCGTATATTTTATTTTATTTCCTCAGATTCATTTTCTTTACAATTGTATTATAAAAATTTGTTCAATTAAATTTATTCATAATTATAATAATGTTTCCTTCGAATAATCCTCTTGCGTTCCTACGAATAGTCGTTTTTTATGTCTATAAATTTATCAATACGTCGCTGTGACTATACTAAGTTTATATATAAGCGTAAAAGTTAAAAATCAGTTTTGGGATCAATATAATTATATATATACAAAATTATCATACGACTTTATGTTTGTACTAACTCCAACACTTGCAAAAGGAAATGAATAATTATAATAAAGATATTGCATTAATTCTATTGGATTCAATGTTATATTGATTCTGCAAAGAGATTTCTAATTTTACGTTGTTTAAATCAAATTTTGACTAAAAAAATATATGTTTATTAATTGTGTAAGTGATAACTAGACAAAATATATAGGGTGTTAATGCGCTTGTACATTACTGTAATTATTCTAATTATCACTGCTACGTACTTTCTTTCAAGATTACGTACGTTATCCATTGTTCATTATCAGTATTTATCTTTAAAATAAAAAGAAAAAAAATTATATTTATATGGAGATAGACAAATAATTGTGAAACATAAAGTGCAAGGGTTGTACGTCCGATTTCCCAGTTGTAGTTTCTTATTAAAGTAAAAGACACCCTATATGTATTGTATAGCTTTAGATCGTGGTGCTTTGTAAGATACACATATAATCCAATATTAGAGAAACTTGTTAACATCATCGACCACCGATTTAGCGAGGGCCCCTACCTGCACGCTTAAACAAGAACATTTACGTACGTAGTAATGTTTGGCTGTAGCAGGAAAAAAGAAGCGATTAAACTAACGCAAAAAAAAAAAAGAAGAAGACAAAAAAAGTTACAAATATGTATTTATATAAATGAAAAATTACACACATGTCAAACAACGATGGACGTATTTTGTATCTTACAATGTTACATTTTTCTATGAGTTTTTCTTTTTATCACGGCTATTTACAATTTTATATGTATTTTGTATTAACAAAGCTTCACGGGAAAATGTAAAGAATATGCTTAAATAAGTTGCGTAAAGAGTCAACGTAATCCTGGAATTTGATAATCGTTACTCACACTTCCCATAATTTTAGGGGCCCCTCCCCCATTATAGTTATAGTATAGAGAGGAAAAAAAGTAACGAAACAAATACATTGTCATCGATGCCTTGCATAGGTAGTTAATGTCAAATTATAGATTAAATATTTGTTGTCAATTGTAGGACGATGTAGAAAATAGGAACAGCGATTGTAATGGAAATTGTTAACACGCTAGACACATACACATGCGTATATATGTATATTATGCATAAACACGAGTGTACGTATGTAATAGCTGCATAACAGGTCAGTGTAATAACGTAGTTAAAGACAAAAATAAGTTTATGTCCATTTAAAGAAAGAAAGAAAAAAAAAAATATACGCGCATAATGCCGTATTATGTTATTGCTGCTAAACGACAGTTTCAAGCCCAGTATCAATTTAGCAGCTCTTGTCATTAACATTATTATTTAATACCGTTTCGAAATAAAAAGAATTTTTAATAAATATAATATCTTTTCTTATCATTTGGATTAACCTTTATTATTAATTAAATTCGTTAGATATTTGAAAGAAGGACATAGATCATCATTTGTTACTTTAAACTACATATGTAAAGTTTGGGAATAATTCTAAATCTGATTATAAAGTAATTTTTTTCTGAGAGGATTTGTTAATAATATTATCATCATCACAATTTTACAAATAATGTAATCATTTTATTATTATTATATATCACAATTTCTATGTATGGTGCTGAAAGCCGTTTTATTTTTTTAAAAAACCGCAGAGATGCCATAGAAATGCACTGTGTGGAAAGTGATTATACATATCTCTATATTTTTGTTAAATTTGAAAAACTACATTGTCCATTTTTTAAATTTAACAAAAACCACCAGATATAACCATTTCTAGCATTTTCTCGCAGTAAAAATAGCTATCAGCCTTCAATTCGATAAATAATATGTTTTGCTGATATTAATAAGAAAATACTTTATTTTCTTTATGATAATCATGTTTTATGTTATACAGCTAGTGGATGTTATGTCGTTTTGTTTCTTTCTGTTTCGTGACATTTATAACAATTTATATTACACACAATATAAAGTGTAAATTCTCATGTAATGATTAAAGTGGATCATTTTTCCTAACATATTTCCATATGTTTTTAAATAAATAACGCTTGTGTTATTTCAATGACAATACACGTTACATTTCTCAGAAATACGCTGAAAAATAAATTATTAATTGGCTCATTTCAATTTGTTTATAATTCGATCTTCATTAAAATAAACATACATATTTGATCAAAATTCGAGAAATTTCTAAAAAAAATCATAATAATCTTTTTAATACGTTATTAAAAAAATATATATATATTATCGCAAGCTAAAAATCAGATTCTATAATGCACATACGTAAAAGCTTGCAAATAAGCTTAATGGTTTGATTAACAATAATTATCAATCTTCAAATAGTTTCAAAGCAAAACAAATTGCAAATATTAAAGTAGGCAATTTAAAAACAACATACTTCGATAAAATATCAATACCGATATAAAAAGAAAATGATAATGTAAACAATGATTTAATTTCTTCTTTACTTTTTATATGTATAAGTGACTTTAGAAAACATTGTTATCCCTTGCAAAGAATTCTCGAAAATATATTCTTTGTATATAATTTTAACATATATGCTACAGTAAAGGAATACATCGTGGTGACTAATGCCGCTTTTTATAAAATGCAGACTCGATATTTCATTTTCTATCATGCGTTGTTCGTATATACTTCGACGTCTCCCAACGTTTGATTGTAAGTTTCAATCTGCGGTAATTTGAATTCCTTCTTGGGAATCTCGAAGTACAATTTCTGCTGGTAATATATTTTTCACTTCACTTTGACGAGGAACTGGTTCATCTTTTTGCACCGGTGGTGCACTGTGGTGCTTTTTTTTATGACACATCATCGTCGATCGCGATACGAATGTTTTGCCACATGCGTCACATTCATACGGTCGTTCTCCAGTATGTAATCTTTTGTGAATGGCCATAGGAGTGAACTGTGTGAATGTTTTACCGCATACGTCACATCTGTAAGGCCGTTCTCCGGTATGCAATCTTCTGTGACACCTTAACGCCGCCCTTCTGGCGAATACTTTACCACACATATCGCATTTAAAGCTTTTCTCTCCTGTATGCATTGTCGAGTGAATCTTAAGATCGACTCTTGTTAAAAATCCTTTACCACAAACTTCACACAAATACGGCTTTTCACCCGTATGAATACGTAAATGCGTGTTCAGATAACTTTTACTAACAAACATTTTATTGCATACCACACATGGATACTGACGATTATCCATGCCTGAATGTATTTTCTGGTGACTTTTACAAAGTCCTTTCGTTATAAAACCTCTACCGCAGATTTCGCAGACATACGGTTTGACTCCGAGATGTCTGTTTTGATGATCCAACAGTGACTGTTTTGTTTTGAAATGTTGTCCACAAGTGTTACATGGAAAAGGCTTCAGATCTGAATGCACTCTTTGGTGAAGGACAAGATAACTTTTAGATTGAAAACCTTTACCACACGTGGAGCAATTATAATCAAATTGTCCTGTATGCGTGGCTGTGTGTTGTGCAAGCCCGATTTTACTACGAAACGCTTTTTCACAAGTCACACATTGAAAAGGCTTTTCACCAGTATGTTTCCGCATATGTTCTTGCAACTTGTAATTCGTTCTGTATTGTTTTCCACATTGAGTACAAACCTTTGGAGTCCATTTTTGCCTTACCGTTGTCTGTTTCTTTTCTTCTATATTTATGTCATTTTGAGAAGACGCTAACTCAGGCTCTACAACTTCTTTTTCTTTGCTGATGGTTTTACTTTTATATACATCACATCTTTCTTTATGTACATTTAAGGCATTTACACTTGTAAAATATAAACCACAGGGACAGCAGCAGAAATATTGTTCGAAATGTGCTATCATATTATTTGATCCTAACGTCGCTTCATTACAAAATGGACACACATACCAGTGTGAGCCTGTTTCATCTACTGTAGGATTATTCAACGTTGATTCTAATAACGCATGCTTGGCTCTTTTTGTATATTCTACTAAAATTTCTGGACTTTCAGTTGTTATTTGACTTGTTGACGCCATAGTATTTGTTTGAGAAGTTGTATGGTTAGGAGTTTCACTTTCAACTACACGTGTTTCTTCTATATCACTACCAGTTTCTGGCTGAGTAGGAGCAAAGTTCTCATGTGATACCTATAAATTAAAAATCATTTATTGGACGAATTTACATTACCTACTTTTAATTTCTATTTGAATAATTTACATTATTTTCGAGTACATTTGTTGGATCTTCTGTAGGCAATCTATCTTGCAACCTGTGATATTCCTGTTTTATTGGTACTGATTCATATTTTACATTGTCACAGTAATGTACAATTGATTCGCGATTTTGATCTTCAGGATTTATTGAAGTAACATAATTTATTCCTAATTGACTCAAATGACCGCTCACTGTTAAATTCCCAACTACAGTCATATCACCCTCCAAATGCATTGCTATTTGATGATTGGAAACCTGCAACAAGAACGTATGTATTTAGGTTACATTTAACGTGTCATTACATTAAGAAATACCTTAGAATGAAAGTATTATTGTAATAAATATAGTACAATTTATTTCAGCAAGCATATTAGGTTTATTTGTTCATTTACTTCTCGTATATGTTCATCCACCATTCTGGCTGTATCTCCATCTAAACAGTCGATACCAGTAACCTCAATATCAGTATCCTGTTGTCCCATCTCTTCTTGTGTAACAACTTGTTCACCAGCTGCCAAATCTATTTCATCCATGACTTGCATGGTATGTATAGTAGGCTCTGCTGTTTCCTGAGTGGTTACATGACTCTGTACATTTTCCATGTCATTCTGTATTCTGTTAATATTCCTTTGAATTCTCTTCATTTCTTCTACTTCTTCCAAATCCCTTTTCGATATGCGTACAATCTCCTGCTTGGCAATTTCCTTTAACATTTCCATGAACATTCCCTCAGTGTGTAAACATTTCTCACGAAAATCAAATAACTGATCCAATTTGTAAGCACACTCCTCGCATACCACTTTTGGCAGTTGATCAGTCATAGACACCTAAAAATAATCAATTAACTGACAACACTGATACAATAAATATATATATATATATACACATGTATACGTATATCCTTTTAATGAATATGCTGAATGCCATCACAATCTTCAGTTTTTTTCAAAGCAGTTGCATATGATTTGAGATTAATGCACAGCTTGCTCTTTGTCATAAGAAGATCGTGAAGCCTTGCACTAATTTTCTTCCTCTATTTATAGTTAAATTAGAAAGAGGGGGTGAAGACAAATCACTGAAGATTGCTCCTCTATCGTTTGTGTATGACTTTACCTGCACTGGCAAACACGCGGCTATTTTCTTGTCAATGTTGCGCATCTGATCGCCGGCTTCGAAAATTGGTAATCCCATTAGGATACCAGTTTTAGTTGCGCATAGTCGACATAAATAATCAAATTCCTCGACGACGGCCATATCAACAGAACGAGGAGGATCGTCTCGTTGCCAGATTAAAACGGACTCCTTCGAAGGACCGATTGCAACGATTTTTACTTTAAGAAACCCAATGGCCAAGGTCTTTCTACGTGATTTGAGATACTTGTGCCGTACATTACGACATTTCTTAATTCGTCTCCTGCCGAACTTCAGTTGAAAGTTTCTCTACTCTTTTACAGATATGCATTATCCGAGGACATTTGTCAAGTAAGTTTGCGTTCACACCATCAGAGACCCTCTTACAATCAGTCGTGGCATCCGTAGCGGGGGAATTAGCTTGCGCTGCTCTCTTTTCATCTAAAAAGAATATGTTTCGTAGGTGGCGCGCTGAACATTCTTTCGATCGACTATCGAATATCGAGAAATATTTGCAATTGCATTTTTGAGCGACACTTATTTCGATAAATTTAATTTGCAGAGATGTATGATGATAATTTAAGGACAAAAATTATTGCATTTAAAAAAAACTTACCCTATAGATAATTCGTTGGATTGTAGATAATTTTTTTTAATGCAATTTCATTGACAAAAAAAATCTTCATTTAAAAAAGTAAATAGTGCACTACGGTATTACGTACTTGAAATCAAATTTTCGTACACTTTTATTAATTTGTTAAAATTAAATTCTATCAAAAGTCTTTTAAATGAGGGAAGAAGAAAGAATATATTAAATGAGTTTTTGAATAATTTTGTATTAAATATCTAAATATTTTGCAGAAAGAAATGAAAAGTAGTGTTCGTATAATTAATATAATAATATAAAATCTATGTTTTTATTAAATTTTTATTTAGACATAATAAAATAAAGTAAAGTGATTAACGCCATTTTAGTTTTTAATTACCTTTTAGATTAAATATATATTAATTTTGTTACCTAAATGAATACAAGTTAACTTTGTTACAATGTTAACTTGTATTCATATACAAGCGTTCGTTCATCATATCGGTATATAAACATGCTTTACTGAATTGCTAATAAAAATGGCGACAAGTAAATCAGGAAACTTACAAAAACGAAAATTAATGATCGAACGGAATAATACAGATGAAGAAATGGCTAGTGAGTATTTTCAACTACATTTTGCAAGACTTAATTATTATCTGCCTTGAATACTTGTTGATAAAATGACAAGTTTATTGTTTACATGCTTGAATTTTAAGCTGCTGTTTATCTTATTTTAATCAGCATAATTGAACAGTTAAATCTATTCTAAGTATAAATGTATATGGTTCTGGCATTTACAAGTTAGATTTTAAGTTAAGTAAATTTAATTGCCCAGAAATAATTTAGTTCTTCAAATGCATAATTTCTAACCTAAAAGTTTTTCTTGATTACAGAGAAAGTCAAAATTGTTATAACAAATTCAGAACCTCCACGACTGTGTCCTTATTTAGATACGATAAATCGTCAATTTTTAGACTTTGATTTTGAAAAGCTATGTTCAGTGTCGTTGTCAAGAATTAATGTATATGCTTGTCTAGTATGTGGAAAATATTTCCAAGGTAGAGGTACAAACACTCACGCGTATACCCACAGTGTAGCTGAAAGTCATCATGTTTTTTTGAATCTTCATACTTTAAAATTTTATTGTTTACCTGACAATTATGAAATAATTGGTAAGAAAATATTTCTTTATTTTATTTGTCTACCAACAATCAATGATGTTTCTTAATATATGATAACTATTATTCAGATTCGTCATTGGATGACATAAAGTATGTTTTAAATCCAACATTTGATAAAGCACAAATTGCGCAGTTAGATAAAAGTAATAAGTTATCGAGAGCCATAGATGGATCTTTATATTCACCTGGTATTGTGGGAATGAATAATATTAAAGCAAATGATTATTGTAATGTTATTTTACAAGTGAGTTATTTTGAAGTACATTAACTCTTTTTAGGCCTCTTTTATAGTATACAATTATAATAGTTCAATATTTTAGGCACTTTCTCATGTTACACCTTTAAGAGATTTCTTTTTGAGGGAATCTAATTATTCTCACGTCAAAAGGCCACCTGGAGATTCTTCTTATCTTTTAGTTCAACGATTTGGAGAATTAATGAGAAAATTATGGAATCCACGTAATTTCAAAGCACATGTCAGTCCACATGAAATGTTACAAGCTGTCGTTTTATGGAGTAAAAAGAGGTTCCAGTTTACTGAACAGGGTATAAAAAAACTATATTATAGCAAATATTGTTATTTTTTGTTAATAAATTTTATTTACAAATATAAAATTTTTAGGCGATCCAATTGACTTTCTTTCGTGGTTCTTAAATGCTCTTCATCTAGCATTAAATGGTACAAAAAAACGTGATTCTAGTATTGTATATAAAACATTTTTGGGTCACATGCGGATATATACACGAAAGATACCACCACTTGAGTTAGATGAAAGTCAAAGGAGCGAATTACTTCATACTGTAGAATATGGTGAAACTGTAACAGAAAGCCCATTTTTATATTTAACATGTGATTTGCCACCACCACCTCTTTTCAAAGATCAATTTACTGAAAATATTATTCCTCAAGTAAATATTGAATACAAGCTTTGATTATCACATTATCATAAGATGTATGTTTTTTCATTTGTTTATATAGGTTAATTTATATACATTATTAAATAAATTTAATGCCGTAACTGAAAAAGAATACAAAACTTATAAGGAAAATTTTATGAAAAGATTTGAGATAACAGAACTTCCTCCGTATCTTATACTTTATATAAAAGTAAGTATATAACTAGTAGAAATTAGATAGACACATTTTTTATTTTCTTTTTTTTTACAGAGATTTACGAAGAATACATTTTTTGTAGAAAAAAATCCCACCATAGTTAATTTCCCAGTTAAGTAAGTAATGTTTTACAATATTATTTTATTAATGAATAATGCAAATGAATTTAAAAGTACATACTGCTTTCAGAAATGTCGATTTTGGGGATATTTTAACACCTGAAGTGAAACAAAAACATCCATTTACAACATACGATCTAGTAGCAAATATAGTTCATGACGGTGAGCCTGGTCAAGGAACATACAGAGTCCACATTTTACATAGAGCAACGGGTCAATGGTATGAGTTGCAAGATTTACATGTAACCCAGATTTTACCTCAAATGATAACATTGACCGAAGCATATATTCAAGTATGTATTAATTAACAAATATTAGCTTAAATAATATTAAACAGTAGAAAGAAAATTTTTTAATCTTTCTTAATCTTTTTAATCTTTTTTCCAGATTTACGAACTAAAAAAAGATATATGTACAGAAAATGGTGACAATAAAAGCAAAAGAATTATGTGATAGATACAATTTTATAAATAAAATATTTCAATTTTTCACTTTCCCATGTCTTTTGTTTCATACTATCCTCAATAAATAAAAAATAATAAATTCACTATACAATCTACTTTTAATTAAAAATCGCTATATAAATTATCATAGATTGCAAATACCTAAAAAGTATCTATATTTTGTAAATTTATCTAATTTTCTGCAACGATAATTTTTCCAAGTTAAAGTAGCAAGTAAAGATAAAATGGGAAACGTAAAATCGAATTTAATGGAGAGAAAAATTCTGAATGTTACCTTCTTACGTGTCTACCGCGTTTGACCCTGCGGCCCGCCGATTGCGTCGAAAGTTGCCGAACTTTACCGAGAAGATCGGAAGTACAAACTGGAAGTAGAAGCGGCTACAGTCAGTAGGGGGGGATTCGCGCGTGGTGGGGATCGCAGTGTCGCGCCGAAGCCGAAGCGAACCGGAGTAGAGTTACAGCCGGCCACGCGAGACGGTCACGAGCGAACGTTTTCTGCAATTCGCGGTTTTTCCATCTCGTTTTCTGTCGCGAGTTCTCTTTTTTCGCAGTGCACCGATATAAACGTGTTTCGCGTATCATTTCGCAAACGCGCTAGTGATACTGACGTTTCTCTCTCCCTTGGTCGTATAATTCATACAGCCGCGAGTGATTTTCTCTGTGTGTACATACGTTGTGTTGTCTAGTGTGTTCTCAGCACGTGGATTATTGTTGTTGGAAGCGACAATTGAAGCTTCGGTGAGTGTTGTCCCTTGTTTCAATAATAATTTCTTTCGAAAAAGCTACGAGGTACATAAGTTTACAAACATTCACGAGAAATATAATCACTGGCAGACATAGCTGTACAACGCATTTAAGAATTTTCGAATATTCTTGCAATAATTCAGCGATAACGGTTCCGTAGTATTTTCTGTGGCCGGTATTTGAGAATCTCTATCCTCTTCAAAGAGTTCCCGCGTAAGGCTATAATTACAATGGCCAAGTATTCGGAGGAATTGGCGTTTTGATTGGCATGTACTATCTGTAAATCGAAATACATTCGTAAGAATTCTCCATAGTAATTCAAAAGCTATTTGTACGTACTTTTATTCTTTGATGAAACTTTTCTCTTTTTTATTATTAGAGTCCACGCGCCATTTTTGTAGTACATACATGTTAAACTTTCGTAGTCACGTGATACGAAGTTTAACACGAATTTGAATCTAATCTTAATCACTATGATTTTGACATATTGACTATGCATCCATAGTCCAAAACTTCTTTGCATTCATTCCTTTTCATTATCAACACGCGTGATACCGAAATTCGGAGTGGTGAAGCGCGGGAGTCACGTTTCAATGGTAATTTTCTCGTTGCTTGGTTATTCTTGTACATGCACATGGTCCATGATTTATGTTGGCGTCTTGGCGGTACGCGCTGCCTTCCAGTAACCGCTCCGAATACCTGTTCCATGCGAACCTCGAAAAAATTGTCTGATTGCGTGGCCACATCCGTGGCGGAGGAGCGAGTTTGAACGTTCCTTGGTTAAAAAGTGGGGGGAGGTACGTTGACTCTCGAAGAAGTCGCGAGTTTCGGATTCCTAGCATCTCGCTTGTCGGTAATCGTTGCATCGTGTAAACCAGTTTCCGCGTGCGAGAGGATCCCCGATGACATATCGAAGGCACGTCATCAGTGTCGCGCGCTTTGTTGCACTGCCATTCTTTTTTTCCCTCAACGTTGCATTTTAACGTGCACGTGACACAATTCCTTCAAGGAAAAGCGAAGAACCATCTTTGCAATTTTTCATTGAACGTCCTCTGACGCAGAGTTGAATTATTTTAAATTGTAACATTTTTGAGATGATATGTTAATGAGTTTGTTTATTTTTTGCGTGATTGTGTACTTAGTAATAACGCATTATTAGACAAAGATCCGATTCAACGTGGGTGGGAAAGAAACATGGCGTCCATTAAGTTTATATACACATCGATGATTAATGTCTCATATCTCGATAAAAACGCTGCGTCTTTCCCCAAAGACATCCGAAATGTCTACCGTACATTTTGAACAAATCTTACAGTTAGGCTGCGAACATTTGTGCAAATTTATGTTTTTTTTTTCTTTTTTTTTTTCAAAAAAGTGCAGTCTAGGTAGGGAACTGTTTTATCTGCTAAATGTTATAATAGATACCTACTACACTTTTGCACGTCATGTACATTCTATGAATTTTCAAATTTCATGCAAATGCATTAGTTATCAAAATCACGACGATAATTGAGATTTGGATGAAACGCAGGAATCGGGTGGGAAATTCTGGAACCGCGGAGGATATTAGTGACACGAATGTGGAATGTTTTAAACGTGGGCAGTGTATTAAGCAGAGATGCACGACGCACCGTTTCGCTTTAAGATCCTTCAGCGACGCTCACGTTCTGCTATGCCTAATATTTCAACGTCCTCGCATTTCTGTCGGAAACGCGCGCACACATAGAGGAAACGCTAAAGAAACGCGTCCGTTCCTCCCGCGCGCCTCTTTTTAAGTACCCCACGAGAGATCCGCCTGAATGAATGTAAAAACGTGTCAAGGATGGAGATCATGGTTGCATTCATCTGCGAGTCACATCCTTGAGGCACTTAAATATCGATTGAGGATATAGGAGCGCGTTGTCAAACGCTTCCTGTCGAAGCTGTTCGATTACACGCGTACTTGTAACACACCTAGTTCATTGTCTCTTCTTTGCGACAATTCTATTCCTATTTTGGTGGCATAATAGTTGCAAGGATGTTCGAAGTTTGCTTATCTTTTCAAAGAATGGTGTAAATTTAGTTTGTAAATTTTCATTCAACGAAAGTTAATCTATAATAATGGAAAGGATATTTTCTAATTGAACTCTGTTTTTTTTTAAATATCTGTTTGCCAAATAATATTTTGTAACTTGGGAGCAGCTAATTCGTGAATGATTGTGAGTTTTTAATTTTATAACAAGGTCGATTTGATAGATAGAGGTGTCTCGTTTCTGGATAATCAAGCGAAACGATCGTATTTTTGGAAGTGACGGAAGATCTATCCAACTTGGTATGCTTTTATTGCCGTGAATTTCAAGTTTATTATGATTCTGGTATCACTGACGAGTGCTCAATGGCCCGAGGGGATAGAATTCTTTTTTTTTACATAAGTTAAGCGAAATCGCTGAACACGTTTCCATGGACGAATAACGAGATACATATATACTACATATATACTACATATAATTTATTCGTATAGTAACGAAGAACAAGAAATGTCATGTATCTCATTCATCAATAGTTTTATGACTCTTCGAGTACACTGATTAATACATATATTCATATATTCATATATTCATCCGTCGAATCATCGAATTATTGAATGCGTAAAATTCTAAGAAAAATCAGATATTCCTTGATATTTCCAGATTTTACTTGCATGTGTATCAGTTTTACCGAAAACGTTCAATTAATTACTCGTTTATCAACGCGAACCAAAGTTGAAAAATCCGCCGTCCGATGATAAACACCATTTTCCACTTTGCAAAATCATGAAATACCGCGCAACAAAACTATTCAACCGTAGACACGGAGCCGTGTCCAACGGGGATCTATCGACCTAGCCCAAACAAGGGCAAAGAGATAAAGATAAGCCGGAAGGGAAACGATCGATCCCAGCGGAAAACTCACGCGATACTCCGATGTATACGAGAGCCGCAATTAGAGAAAGAAAGCTGGCACCAGTATTAAACGAGGGATCTCCTCGTTTTTGCTTGCCCCATTCATCGGCGATTCATCGCGAGAGAAGGCAAACGATTGTTCTCCCTCGGAGCAGGAAGTCGCTCGCACGCGAAATAAAAAAATCCACGACGGTGAAAGTCGTGGGTTCTGTCGTTTGCTTTCGTCGTGCATCTTGATTCTTTCGCCGTTGAATTGGCCGAAGTGTAACGTGACACAAAAGAGCGTCGTAGGCCTCTGGTGGTAGATGTTGCGTACAGGTAGATGATAGAGGGGAGAAGAAAGAGCAAACGAGGAACAGCAGATGGCCAGCTGTTAGACCTATGCGCGATTTACCTATGGACGAACGGCCAAGGCTACAATGGGACTTTGTCGTTGGTGAATTGGGTTACACTGGTCACGTTCCCGTGGTTCCGAGCCACGGAGAACCCGGCCAACTCCTGCGTATCTCGGAACAGTTAGAAGTCGATGGTCCGATTCGAATTCCACGCAGAACCGCGTATTATCGCTCGTCTGACCGTGACGAACCTGCCTTTTCTGAATTGTTTTTACCGAATCGTTATTATTTTATAGTGATTCTATTACGCGTTTGCCACGGATTCGCGAGGAATTATGTGTAACAGACGTCTCCGAGCTGCGTGTTGTTTCGTAACGGGGAATAACTGTTTAATCGAAGAAATTTCCTCGCATGGTTCTCGCACATAGAAGACAATGCTACTGTAGTAGAATTTTTGGAATTTGCGAAACGTAATCTCACGCAGTGGAGAGTAATTAATAATTTATTAATAACTTTGTGGAGATTTTCACATGACAAATTTCACTCGATAGTAATACCAGGCTCTAGAAAAGTTTTTTTTAACGACGTTACTGTAAAATCGTTGGAATATCTTAGTATAGTTTCGTAAATTTTTCTGGAAACTATCATCTAGTGGATTCTGTAGTATGGCTTTTGGAATTTTGTAGAGAATAGCTCTAAAACTTACGTTACACAATTGAGAACGTCAGTTCGAGGTCCTGTGTGAAGTTATTATATCACATATGCGCTTGAAGAACGTTTGTTCTCGCGAAAAGGTGCACAAACGCAGTATCAACATCCCACGTATTTTTTGTAATGATTTGTGCCAGGAAATACTCAACAGAGATATTTACAGGAGAGTTATTATGAAAAACAGGTGTAAAATTGTTCGTATTTCGAGTACTTAATTTTCATTGTCGCTTTTAAATCAAGAGGCAATCGAACGTTGAAAGTTTCACGAATTTTCGGAAATTTACCAGTTTGAATTGTCTTCTTAATGTCTGAATTA